CCCCCCCTACACACACACACACACACACACACACACACACACACACAGAGTCAAAAATCATTGTATCTTGCTCTGCCCATCCCTAAGGAGGTCACAGAATGCCCTGGTGGCTGGTTCCTGTTCTGGAGACAGAGACAGCTTGCGTCACTTAGAGCTACTGTTCCATCCCTATAACTAGGGGACAGGGACTCTACCAGCTCTGAGTGAGGCCCTGAGGAGAAAAGGGTTTCCAAGCTGGTCCCGATGATGGACAGGCGCTCTCCCCTTTGGGCCATCCTGTAGCTCTGAATGTGCTGAAATTCTTGGTGGTGAAAAAGATTCCCCGTGGAATTCATGGCTAGCCCAGTAGGAGAAGGGTAACATGAACATTTAGGGTTCTGTTTCAAAGCCGTGCCATTTGTTGGGGTGAATGTGGGGTTATAGGTCATGTGTGGCTTGCAGCTGGACTCAAGAAGAGAGGTGGTCAAATGACTGACCAGAACGGTGCTCTCAAACCCCCCAAGTCAGAAGATCGGAGCCTTGTCATGTCAATTCTTTCTTTGAAATATTTTGATACAATTAAAATTGTAGAGTCGTTTTTTTTATTTAACTGTTAAAAATGGCAGACAGTAGAGTTCCCATAAACTCTACACCCAGTTTCCCCTACCCTTTTCTTCTGAACAGATTCGTAAAATCATTTGTCGCATCTGATGAGTCAGAGGAGTCTCCGGATGGTTGAAGCACTTTTCTGCTAACTGAGAGATTGGAGGTTCCAGGTCGCACAGAGAAAAGCCTGGTGCCCTTCCAGACAATCAGCCACCGAGAGCCCAGGGGCACCGGTCTGCTCTGACACGTGGGGTGACCAGGAGCACAGGTCACCTTGCAGCAATGGCTTATGAAACAATATTGATAACAGTATGATTTTTGTAAGTGGAAGGTTTTCCTGTAGCTTTTCATTTTTATTTTGAAAACTGTGAACGAGCTGAAGCTCGAGAGAGCACATCATCAGTTTACGGTCAGCAGTTGTTAAGCATTTTCTTCATCACTTGTCCTGCGCTGGGGAGTATCAAGCATCCCACTTCCTCCCGTGTGGTCGGTTTCCGTCCCTCCTTTTTTCCTAAGCCTCCTGAACTTTGTCCTTGGGTAAATGCTGTCCTTTCTGTCTTAAGCAATAGCTTGGCTAAGGTGTGCGTACCTCATAGGTGTTCCTGTTCCCCACGTCGACCCGTCTACTTCAGACCTCCAGGGTGACTAAGGACCATAGCCCCAGGGGTCCCACCAGTTTCTATCCAACCTGTCAGCCCAGTCTCATGATTTTGAGGTCTGTTCCATGTTTTAAAAGTTTTTACCTCATTCTACCAAGGACTTTCTAACGTGATCCTTCTCAGAGCAGTTGCTAGTGGTGCTGGGAACCATCTAGTTCATAGGTTCCCCCACAATACTTGGCCTATTGCCCTTTTTTTCAGGGAAATAAAAATGTACTCCTTCCCTCCCCGCTGCCCTCTGGAAATAAAAACCCTTTATACTATAGTCCATTAAAAAAAACCCCAAAACCTCATTACCCTCAGTCCGTTCTGACTCATAGCAACCCTACAGGACAGAGTAGAACTGCCTTGGGGTTTCTGAGACCGACTCCTTACAAGGGCAGAAAGCCTCATCTTTCTCCTGTGGAGCAGCTAGTGGTTTCGAACTGCTGTCCTTGTGGATCATCATCTAACATGTAACCATTATGCTTCCAAGGCTCCTATGCTAGCCCGTAATCCAGGGTAAAATGTAGGCATCTGATTTTGTAGCCCCTCCCCCGGGGTCATTCCATCTTCCCCAGGGACCGGTGGTACGACCCACTTTGGGAAAAACCGATCTCGTTTTTCTGGTCTCAGCATTGTAGAGACTGATGTTTTGTCATCTATTAGTCAATTGGGCTAATTATTTCCATGTCTCAGTTTCCGTTGCTCTTCTTCTGGATGGGGAAACCAATGGTTGCTCATGAACTTTTAAGAAACTGATTGCAGGAGCCTTGGTGGCATAGTGGTTATGTTGAACTGCCAACTGCAAAGTCATCAGTTTGAAACCACCGGCCTCTCTGTGGGAGCAAGATGAGGCTTTCTACTGCCCCTCTAAAATTACAGTCTTGCAAACTCACAGGGACAGTTTAACCCTACTCTGTAGGGCCGCTGTGAATCAGAATTAACTTGATGGCAGTGAGTTTTGGGGAATTGCTGTTCTCCAAGGATGCAGCAAATTGTGTGGTGAAATGCTTTCTAAAGACTATCACAAACATCACCTGTCTTTGGTTAAGATGCTGGGCGTACGTTTCCCTGTTTAAAGGCAATGCATGATCTCAGGATAACGACCGCATTGACGTGGCAGAAACTAGTTTATCTGATTACTTCCCAGTGATCAGAGAGGGGTCATGCCACAAGCCCGGCTTTCCTTCAACCAGATTAATACATTTATTTATTTTGTCAGACCACTTCCTATTCATAATATCACTAGATGTGTGTTTAAATTCAGTTACATTATATTGAAAGCTGTGTATTCTCATAATTTCTAAAATCACCACCATGTATAGAACGAGACCTGAATGAAAATGACCAGATATCGTGAACTTTACAACATTTCAATGAATGTTATTGTTGGCACCCCAGCGCTGCTTTTGTATTGAATTTTGACACACTACATGCACGTGGACACTTGGACAGCTGATTTTCACATCCCTTTCTGTATGGTGTTAGCACACTGCATTGAGAACTGCGGAAGCGAGCCAGCTCATTGGCTGCTTCATCCTGTGATCACTTAGTCATCGTAGCTAACCCTGTTCACTTGATTTTGCTACTCATCCGTTTTATAAATACTTAGAATGCACTTGGGAAGGGCAGTATTAATGTAAAAATGCGATTGACATTTATAATAAAGTATTGACCGAAAAAGCCATATACATATTTTTAAACATT